TCTTTTGGGAACACAATCTGAAGTTGGAAAAAAGAGAATAAATTCCAATACATCGCAATATGTTTAAAATCGTGATAATATCGTATCGTGATAATATCGTATCGTGGGGCCTCTAGTGATTTCCACCCGTAGAAAATAAACGATAAAGCAGAGGATGCTTTAGGGCGGGGCTACCTTATGATTGACATGTTAAAAAAGTCAGCTGTTCATTTTTTCTGGTAAGTACTTCTTATTTCTTTTTCCTTACTTTCCCAGTTAACGTGAGTTACGAATGCACCTTTGTCCAAATATGGTCACACAAAAAGTCAAGATGGCTGCGGCCAAAACTCGAAGCTTCAAAACGTTAGTCCACAACCCAACGGGTGACGTCACAGAGACCTCATCCACTTCTTTTACACAGTCTCTGCTCTTTGCTCTCTTGCATGACAGTTTTAGCTCTGTACTATCTTACTTTGATGAAGCAGGCAGGCACTGTAGGTAGTGCAGATTAACTTGTCTAAACTCTTTGTGTTTGACCGTAAGGCTGTCTCCACATGACGGGCAGTGTGAGCTGAACTCTCGGCTGTTTGGATGCGGAGTCAGTGCGGGTAGCTCAGCTCAACACTGATGCATTATTATATGCTTTTTAAAAATGTAAATTCAGCACCGCTATGAGCTTCATCCATTTTAACACTGTGGCTCAGGCTGGCACAAAGTGTTTTTGGTCATGTGTAGACAGCCCTACTCCAGCTGCTGATGGTAAAGCCTGAGTAAAGCCCTCGCTGCCTAACCTACGCTGAAAACCTCTCTTCCCTTCTCCTTCTTTCTTTCCCTCCTCTCTCCTCCTCTGCTCGTAATCCTCTTTCATTATATCTTTTATTTTCTCCATTTCTTTTTTGATTAGTTTCTTCCATTCCCACCTTCACTTTATTCCACCTCCCTCACTTCCACACGCTTCCAAACGTCCCATCCACCTCCCCCCACCCCCCTCTTTTTTTTTTTTGCGTAGGCCTGACCAGTGAGGGCGATGGTCAGGGTGAGTCCGAGGTTCTGGATTGGTTAGAAGAAGTGGAGGAGGGCGGCGGCTCTGATTGGTTAAACGGTTTCTTCACTTTCCTGTACGGTCTGATAAACCCCCTGGAGGAAGAGGAGCAGCACAGTACCTCCGGAGGAGTCGTGGAGGCACAGGATGAGGAAGAGGAGGACGAGGATGAGGGAGGGGTCAGAACAAGAGGCGCAAAAGATGATGGAAATCGCGGGCAGAGGATCGTCATCGTTGGCCTCCATAACCAATAATAATGCAGCCCCGTTATCCTCTAATGAACTTGTCTTCAAACGGAGGGCCTTCACATCCAACAGGCCAAGCTACAGTCTCAGGGGAACTGTTCCTCCACTACTTTCTCTGCCTACTTTGGCAGGTTTTGGCAACTTTGGTTACTGGCTAGCTTTGGACATGAACATATCCAGGCTAACGTTGTGCTGTGTGGCTCCGCCCTTCCCTGGTTTCACACACTGGAATCCACACAAATACCGTCAGACTCAGACAAATAAGCTTCAGTCTTGCATCAGCAGAATCTTCAGAGTGTGACATCCTTTTGAAGGAGTTTTCTATGATGTTGATCCCTCTTCTGGGATATGGACGTGATACTCAGGAACACTTTTAGAAGTCCTCTCAAACGTTGTAGTTATTTTTAAATCTATTTTCAGCACAACCATGTTGGCAACACTGGTCAGCAACACTCAATAACACAAAATGCAAAGGTGGTTTGCACTTGGACAGCTGCTCGGTTGTCCCTTTTTCTGACATTTTGTGTTTTCATATCGTTGCATGCCGTGAAAACAAATCCTGCACGTTTTTCTCTGGACTTTTAGACCGTAAGCAGGAATTTATACTTTTTTAAACCCCTGTCAAGTTCAAGTTTCCTGATTTTTGTCTGAATTTCTGCTTTATATTTACTTCATATCATTAATCTGCATTAAAAAAAGATGCACATAAATGCCGGCGTCAAAGCGCCCAGAATGCATTGCAGTTGGAATTCTATCAGAGCGTCCAGAACCTTTTTTGTGAAGTTGATCTTGCTCAAATTTCGATTGGCTCTCAGCCAGATGTCATCCGTACAGTTCGGCCACATTACTGAGGGAACAAATCTGCCGAACAAGATGAAGAAACCTCTGCTTAAAAACTACAACAACAACTCCTCTGCAAAGTAAACATAAGAGCCCGTACAGCAGCATGGCTTTTGCATTTGACAACATTGACTTGAGTTTCCAACATGGCACTAGTGATAGCAAGCTTCTCCACTGGCACTGACAAATCTGCCTACCTAACTTGCATATTGAGATCCGATCTCATTTCTTGTGTGTTCTGCAGGGAGCAAGCTTTGTTGTTGTGTGTTTGTAGTCTTGTGCCATCCCTCTGCTCAGCAACAGCGTATATCACTGTCTGTTCATTCTCCTCCTTTATTTTCCTTTTAAACATTATACTTCTTCCTTTAAACCCAGACTAGCTGTCAGCCATGACACCTAAAACTTTAGTTTGTTTGTCCAAGGTTCAGGTTTGTGACTACGCACGGGTTCATGTTCAAACCGTTGCTTTTGTTGCGGGTCAAAGGGGAGAGAGGAGTGTAGCGTAGTAGAAGGGTGTGATCCAGGACTCTCGTGCTCCTAAATGAGAGAACAGAGAAAAATGTTCATGCAACACATTTATTAACAGTGTATTACATATTTATACTGCATCATCGGCAAACTGTGCTTGTTGTTCCAGGTTGCACACACTTGTTTTAGGGACAAATGCTTCAGCCCTGTGATGCATGCGTCAAGAGTCAGAGGGCTGAGACAGGTGATGCAGAGAAAGAGGCATGTTTGATTTGTTAACATGGAATCTATTAATCACTGCTGCAAGCTCAGACAGCTGAAACCAACTGCATGTGTGTTGTGGTGTGCGTTTTGACAAGGTGTGTCAACAGGTTTGCAGGGAACCTGGTGGCTGTTATGAATGCACCTAATTTAAAAACAGGCTCTTCCTGCTCTGGGGTGGAGTGACTGTAGCTTTGGCTTGTTGATGTTCATAGCTACTATAACTTGCTGGTGAGAGAGCCCTCTCCTTTCAGGCTTTGTTGAGTCAGCCTGAAAATCTCTCGGCCTCCAGTCACTCCCACACCTGACAGGCAGAGCATATTGAACAGCCCCGCTGGGGTTGTTACCGGTTGTTACCAGTTGTTGCGTTTACTACAACTTGAAATATCAGTTTCTGACCCTGACTTTGTTGGTTACCTTAGCGTAGACCTTTCTGTGAGCCTCCCTGTCCAGACTGACACAAGCTAACAGGAAACTTGGCCCAACTCATTGTAGATCTGATTTTGTGAGCTGCTTTAAAATCCATCTCGAATGGCAGTTTTCTGGAAGATGAAAAGTCTCCACCAGCATTTCCTACACATGGAGCTAGTTTTCAGTGACACAGTGAGAAATCTTTTGGACTAATTATATTTACTCTGGCTAAGTAGTGTCAGGGATAACGCTTGTGTATTATTACTGTGTGTTTCCAGTCCAACCAGAGCTCTCGGCGCAGAGGAACAGCTGCAACAAGAGGAATTGCGTATCTGGCAGGAATGAGAGGCTTTTCTAGGCTTAGGTGGGCTACTGGCTTTAGCCTGTCAATATGTACCATAGTTTGCTTTACTTTGTGCAACCTGAGGTGATGGTGATCTCCAAAAGTGTTTACTATGACTTCTAGTTGGTGATAAATATTAGGCCTGAAAACTTTTTTCCCTTCACTGCATCCATAAGTGTTTCATTCTGCATCTTGTAAAGTACATTTGTGTCCTGCTGTGGTAGTGTGCAGTGGACACAAAGCTGTTATTTGTCTGCAAGTATTTCCACATATAATGAGGGTTGGGTTCCTTCCCATCCAGTATACGAGCTTAAACCAGTTTGATTTCAGGCAAACCATCTGAGCCGGCATTTGTCGTTGTGAGACATTCTGGCAAATTTGAGTATCGACGGCGTTAAATCCAACTTGTATTGCATTAATTATAAGCAAAACGACATTGCGATTGGCTGAATAGCCTCACGTGAGTTTCCTGGGTCGCCAAACAGGTGCGGGAAAGGCTTGGACAGAGTCTGGGTCCGAACCTGGGCTGGGTCGGTCTATTGGTGACCTCGGCTTTAGAAGAAGCAAAGTTGAGTTGAATGGTTGTTGTGAGAAGCTGTCTTGGTTGTGCACTTTCACTCTCATTCATGGGCTCATTATGTTTCACTCGCAGGGAGGCTGAGTCACATAGAACACTTAGTGGCACAATTTTTACAATTACAGGTCTGGTATTTGGCTTAATATCAAACTGGCTTGCAAATGTCAGCCCAACCCCACTGCACATGTAAACGTGTCACTCTCTTCAGATGTTGCTCAGAGGATTGAAAGCCAGATTCTCCTTCCTGCACTAACTGCCATAGAGCTTTTTATTAAAACTGAGCACAGGTGTCATTGATAACATAAAAAAGGACTGTGTTGTGTTTAGTTGAGCTGGTTCCTGGGTATTGTGCATGCTTGTTCGCTGTCATTATTGGGACACTTGCAGGAACCACCTGTGCTTTTCCTGCTCTGACGAGTCAAAATGTCGGCTGTGAAAAGACTCAGTCGGATTGTGCGCAGCTGAACTTGAGTTTCATCTTTGTAGTGTTATTTAGCAAAGTTCTTTACCATGTTAAGTTGTTTAGCAACAGCGCACTTCTGCAACAAAAGTCAGTGATGTTTGCTTCAGCTTGAGGCAGAAATTGGCTTCATGCAGCATTAGACAAAATATGGAGCTTTGCAAATGGAGCACTTCATGGTGTCTAACGATAAAAGAGTAACTGTAATTCTTGTCTTGTGTGCAACATCAGATGAAAAACCTGCAGCCGGGAGAGGAGCTAAGAAAGGTATCGCCATGCAGACACTTGCATGACGCTGTGCTGTGTTACGGTGTGGTCTAGACTAATGTATGAAGCTTCAGTTTCTCCCGTTGTGGTTTTGAATCCAGCTCCCGTTGTGGTTTTGAATCCAGCGGAGTGTGTTTGTTTAATTGTTCTGTGAATGCGTTATTAACCTGAAAGGGCTGGTTTGCAGTGATTGCATTTTTTTTGGCTTAATTCTCTTCTTGATGAAAAGGAAAACGTGTGTTAAACCTGAGTAGTGTTCAAGAACCCCTTCATTGTAGTACATTTTTTATTAAACTTGTGTAAATCTGGTTTTAATGCACCAGCTTTAACTAAGTATACCAGACCAGCGTGGTCTACAAAATAAGATGAGTATGGCATGGCACTGGTCTTGCTGTGGATAAATTTAATCCTGCCTGATGTGTGGCGACGTTCAATAACAGAATGGTGCAACGCCAAACAGTGTTGTTGCTCCTCCATCCCAGAAACCTCTCAGACCACGGATGTTGGCTGGAAGCTGCGGGAGGCTCTAAAGCAGCAGCTGGCCATCATCCACGAACGCGTGGAGGCCAAGAAGCTCGCCAAGCTGGCTCTGGCCGAGGTGAGACAGCTCCTGGCCAAAGAGGAGGAGGAGAAGGAGTTGGAGCTGGGGAGGAAGGAAATAAACGCCAGAGTGAAGGAAAGAGTGGCGACCAGGCTGAAAGAGGAAGAGGAGAAGATAGAGAAAGAAGAGATGGAGAAGGCTCTGGAGAAACTAAGGAAGGAAAAAGCTAAACAGGATGGGGGAAAGGAAGACGAGAGCAAGGAGGGGAAGGAAGGGGAGAAGAAATCAAAGAAAGGAGGGGAGGCAGAGGGGGAGGGAAAGAAAGCACAGGAGGATGACGAGGGCAGAGGGAAGGAGTCTGCCAAAGACAAAAAGAGAAGCAAAGCTGAGAAATCGAACAGAGGAGGCAGGAAATGAAGTCGGGGATAAGGTTTTAGAGAAATATTTTGGTCCCATAGGAAGCCAGCGTTAACCATTTTCAATGCTAGGGTGAAGGTCATGTTGGTGCTGACCAAAATGTGTCTGTTGCACCAAAGAACTAAAAAAAACAAAAAAAGGACATGTGCTGAAAGCTGTTATCAAAAATCTTATTTTACTCATTTATTCCTGATTTGGTTCAAATTGTTGCCAATTTTACAACCGTTCTTAGTAAAGTTCTTGTATAGCTGTACATATATTGTTTTGGTATCTGCACCAATAGTCTGGGATCTAATAAGCTCCATAATTTAAAGGATTTCAGTTTATACCCTGAGCTATTTGGCCCGTGTACAGATAGAGTGGTTACTAGCTGGTCCATATTCATGGTGCACACATGAGCTTATTTGCCACCTACTTCATATTATTTCACTGAATTTAAAACTGAAATAATGTAAAGTACAGGCTTTAAAACCAAGTATTGTAGGAAAGCAATATGTTAATAGGCCCAGCATCAACAACTGGACAATAGAACAGTTTATTTGCTGAAAGCGTTAAAGAAAAAAGTTAAGTCAGCTAGACTGTCTCGTTGTGTTTAATTCATATGCATAACATTAAATTTTTCACGGTCACGTAGCGAGTGGACATCAGCTTAGTGCTGCGCAGCATACGTGCTGTGCTGGGAATTTGCAACACTTCTCATTTGGAGAGATTTTGTAGTCAACCTCCGTTGTTTTTTTCATAATTTTTGTCCTTTTTTAAGCTGCGTTTCCACCTAAAGTACCTGGAGCTTTTAGTCCCAAGGAACTACTTTTCAAGGAACTTTAAAGGTTCCTTCAACCCAGCGTTGCGTGCGTTTGCACCACGCTCTAAAGACCTGCGAAGATTAGGCCGTTTTTTCTTACTCTGAGGTATGCATCGCACGGCCAGACAAAGTGACGGAAAGGCATCTTTATTTATGCAACACTGCAACAGCGCAGTAACCAGGGAGGAGATTCAAGTTGTGCTGCTGTTGGTCCTGATTTATTGGTTTGAGACGGGAGTTTTTTGGAGGTACCTGGAACTTAATTTACAGCCTGGTCCCAGCAGTAGAAATGCAGTGAGTTCCATGAAAGGTTCCTAGTTCCTGGGTAAAGTTACCTGCAGTGGAAATGCAACTTTAGGATGAGGACAGGCTGATTGAGAAGGACGGGAGTAGTGGGAAAGGGTACGATTTTAAAACTGCAAGGGTCAGAAAAAGCACAGCAAGATACTACTTCAGTGTCATTGATCATGTTTTAGATTTGAACTAGATTGAAAAACATTAGGGTATCTAACCCATTGTCTAAACAGTTTATGGAGTTTTGTGTTACACCATGAAAAATGTGTTATTTTCTTTTGTCAATAAAGTTTCTGGATACATGGAAGTGTCTCTTTTCTAACCAGAGGATCCTGTCTTTATGTGTGTGCGTTAGGAAATACTACACAAAAGGAGATCATGCTATGAATCTTTGACCTCAGACCAACTCCAGTTTAGACCTCACACACATTTAGACAAAAACATGACAATATGGTGTTTGAGAAACCTCCAAGTCAGCAAAAGAAACCCCCACGCCTCCTTTCTTTGTAGATGGTTTGATTGAAAGTGTTGATTCATGTAAGTGATGTTACCTTACTTTTCTTTGCCACACTTTTTTACTTACAGCGTCCTGCACAAGTTCCTTCACTGTGCATCACATACATGTATCTTCATACTGTGGATACCCATAAATCTGACAAACATTTAAAACCCCAGTCATTAGATGTGGGCTGGTATGTGCTCAATCAAGTACTCGATACACACGTACATATCCTGTGTCCATACTGTACACGAACATGTGTTTCCTGCCAACAACATGTGCATCATCTCACGTAGGACTGAAAGAGAAGGCTGTTGTCGTCACTTCCCGTCGTGAAGAAGCTGCCGCTCCAGTGGAGATCCCTGAACCTGAAGTGACACCAGAAGGTACCGCACATGTTCCCATATTTGCATAAAAACTACAGACTGTATATAAAAATACTCACAGGTATGGCAGCGTCACGCGGATACAGAGCTAACAGGGTTTCTTTATTAAAAGTTGTTCTTTTGAAATGCAAAGTGAACTGAAACGTAAAGGTTTTGTCCAGGTGTAGCTTATGTGTGACAATAAATACACCGCAGATGAGTCGAAATCAGTGGTTGTTAAATCCTCCCATCAGTTATTCTTTAAACCTCTAAGTCTGAATGCTCTGAGCCGATTATATTTATAGTAACGTAACCTTATTAATCATGTAAAGAAAATTCTAAAACTTCATATAAAAAATGCATAATCTTTTAGTGATCTTCAATGGAAAAAGGCTCAAAAACAAATATATGCAAACTTTTCTTTTTTTAAACTGTTCTGCTGTACGTTGAACTTTTCTGTGAAACAGTTTGCATCATTTTTAGACATCTTATTTTTTTTCTGTTCCTGCTTTTTACTTTGTTAAATTGACTAAATGTAGGGTTAGGATATTAATCTGACCAGAATCAAATACTTTATCTTTGTCACAGTTGCAAACTTATCAAGGCATAAGGAATAGAATAAGAATAGAAAATAGGTAGATGAAGAAATATATAGAGTATAAAATATAAAGAAAAATATAAAGCTATGTATGTACAATATTTATATTATTAAAGAATTGTCAAGGTGAACCGTAATAGTGACTAATTATTATATAGACGAGTCTTAAGTTGGCTTATTTTAATAATCTGCTCGACCAGGAACAAAATCAGGTGATTCTTTACTTCAAAAACTGAAAACTTTTACGTTACCAAGATGAGTCACTGCCCACTACGGCTCTCTCCTCAGCTATAGTTGAGCCTGAACCTGAACCAGTGCCTGTGGAAGACGTGATTGAAGCTGCTGTAGCAGACGACACTTCTGCACCACCTCCAGGTACGTGAGTGTGTCTGTGTGCAAAGGTCTGCATTGGCGTTCATCAATGCAGGCAGACTGTTTGTGAATGTAGAGAAATTAGATTTGTCAGAATCAGATTAAGTGAAGACCGTAGGGGTGTGACGAGATACTCGGCTGACAAGATTTTACATTATTTTTGGAAATGTTTTTATTTATCTAAAGGGAAACACAAAATTCAGGTGGCAGGTGGCAATTCACAATCTAAAATGTTAGGATGAGACAAGGAGGTGGAAAACTAAACTAGGCAGAAATCTCACCACAAATCCACACACAGCGAGGTTGCACCTCAGTTTTTAGATGGTTATATTGCAAAAGTCTACCAGCTACGTTAGCACTCACTCACAAACTGTCTGCGACTCACCGTGTGGGAAAACTCGTCAGGTTTTAAACTGGTCACACCGAAACTAGACATTGTTCTCTCTGCGCTCGGCCCCGCTTACTGTTAAATACCTGCGTGTTCCAGCAGCACCGGAAATTTCAAGTCTTTTCACTCAATCTTATAGTGTTATCGGGTCTGAATGAACATTTACATTGTCTGATTTATTTGTTAACATACTAACTTTGATTGGATTTAAAACTTATTGCTTCAAATGCAAAACCAATAACACTAAATAAAATGTGTTGTTACGGTAACGACTGTCCCCCCTCCCTCCCCGCGATGGTAAACATGGAAAAGGAGTGTTGAATAAAGATGCTTACGTTAATTTCAGCTCTTTGTAGTGCTCTTAGGGTGGCGATGGAGCAGTGGATAAGACACATGCCTTTGGTGTGAGACACCCGGGTTTGAATCCACTGTGAGACACCAATGTGTCCCTGAGCAAGACGCTTAACCCCTCGTTGCTCCAGAGGTGTGTGACCTCTGACATGTATAGCAATTGTAAAGTTAAAGATTTTAAAGACAAATGCAGGCAGTAGTTCCTGCAAAGGAGCCCAGAAATTAACAGGACCGGACTCTTCTCCGTACAAGGCATGGTGTCAAATGCCTCCTGCTGGATGGACCCGTGTGTTTCATGGTTTTATATCCCGGTTGGGACTTTAATGTGAACGCACACCAACAGATGGAGGACAAAAATTGACTGGTAGAGACAGCTTTTTGAGGGTTAAGATGATGTTTTAGGGTTGGGGTAAGGGGTGTAGGGAAAGCATTACGCCAATGAGATGTCCCCACGGGGATAGAGGAACAGACTCTGAGTGTGCATGTAAATGAGAACCTGTGCAACTCTCTGCTTGTCCCTCTAGAACCAGAACCAGAACCAGAACCTGAGGAGGAAGCTGCACTGGAGGAGGCAGCGGAACCTGAGGTGGTAGCTGAACCTGAGCCAGAACCTGAGGCTGAACCAGAGCCTGTAGAGACTCCTGAGGTTGGTACAGGCCACATTTGATAAAACAGTCGGTAGAACTGGTCCCAGTTGCAGACAGCCATTTTTTGATGCTCTGTCAATTTTGGTCCTTTTCAGTTGTACTTGAAGCCTCCTTTAAAGTGAGTGACTCCAACTGGAATATGTCCATATATTTCAGGATGTGGTGCATCTCTGGGAATAATCACTTTTGGATCAAAAATAGAATGTTTTTCAAAAAAAGTGCCCTTTTGTGGGGAGGTCAGGGACATCGATCTAATTTTTTCGTGCCAACTCAAATGTTAGTTCATTGCATTTAGATCAAGAAACAATGCAGCTGTAATTTTGTAATTTTTGTTGTTTCACATGAATGTGCTTCTATAAAGTCATCCTGTTAATTATGAGGTTCCTTTCCACCTGACAAATCCTGGACCTCTCCCGCTACTCTGTCCAGATCCCTGTCTGTCTTCTATTTATAGAAGCACGACATGATGCTTTCTGGTCTAAAATGAATTTTGGTGATAAAATGTAAGCTCAACTTGCCCCGGGTCTTTAGGCTGAAATTACCCCATCCCTGCCAGTTTAACACACTTGTGTCATGCAACAGTTAGACGAAACACCTAGACCTTAAAGGAATCCGTTAAGAAATTGTGTGAACCTGTTGATGACGTTTAGGCTTACCCTTTTCAGGTGATCGAGGAGGACCCAGAGGTGCTGGAGGAGGAGCCTCCTGCAGTGGAAGAAGATGCTCCTGTTCAGGAGGTATGGACAGTGTTGATGTTGCTCTTTTTTAACCAAATGTCGTAAATTTAAGAAAATAAATACACCGTCAGTAAGTGAGACGATGTGAGTCACACTGGCAGGTATGCAGAAAAACAGTGACACATATACATTATATAATAAGTAGTAGTTTTTAAAAAGTAGTAATTTAAAATAAATGAAAGATCATTTTTCTTTTCCCCCTCTGAAATAGATTACATTACATTAACATGTCACTTCAACACATTCAAACAGTACATTTCTACAGTTCCACAAGCTGCAGGTGCTTAGACCCCCAGTGCACCTGTCTGCAGGTTCTTAGAGGTGCAAAGTAATGATGATTCATGCTAATCACATTTTCCCTGAATCTACAAAATGTCTTCCTCTTGTTTCAACCTGCTCTGGGTTTAGTCTCTCTTTACACTCTGTCTGAAATCAGTCAGCTGTAACTTGACTGTCCTCCAGTTTGGCGACCAATCAGAGCTCATTAGCAGAGAAACAGCCTGAACCACAGAGAGCCTTGCATAATGTTTTCGGGTTGTTTTTTTGCTGACCATATTTGGAAAATGAATTGGTGATATTTTTGACTCAAACATCACTGTGACCTCAAAACAGGTTTCTAGCTGAATTTGGCGATTCCAGATTTCACACGCGTTTCCTGGGACAACACAATGAGTAAACAATAACTGGCACATTACAGGCTTTCCCTCAATCCTATCTTTCCTGCCGCTATTCTGAAATTGTTGCGTCATCTGAATCACGTGACTGCAAACGGCGCCTAGCTAATCGTGGTCCTGTGAGTGAGTTTCACCTACAGCTCATAGAGAGGCCTACATACCAGGAGAAAACAAAAGCACCACATTTCATGTAGCTCTACTCTGTAAGAATCCATCTTTACATAGTAATCAAGAACATGTGGGCCAGTTTTATGCCCCCATTTTAAAATTCAGTTCCTTCCAAGTATTCACTACATACAGTATATTGGACAGACATGGATGTAAGTAGCGTAGCAGGGCAGGAAAACACTTTATTTTTCATGGAAGACACACAGTAAACATGTTGAATCAGGGCTTCAGACTAGCTCTGTGCATTGGTTTCAGTGGTGTGACTAAATTTTTCACTTAGGTGCACCGCCACAAAATTTAGGTGCACTTTCAGCACCAAGTATATTCTAACCTTCTGTCATTTCCTGTACACATTAATAGTTCTGTGAGTGATTGTAAACAGGAACACCTGCAGGAAAACGTTTGTCTTTATTTGAATCACAGCACAAACCAAAAATGCCCAAAACTTCATTATTGGAACACAAAACTTAGAAAGTGCTGACGTTTAAAGTGCATGAAACGCTGAAAATTAAAATTATTCACCTGCGC